AACTGCTGCCCGCCGTACCAGGAATGCAGGTAGCACGCCTGGCTGGTGTCCTTCTCATCGACGTACTTGTAGAGGAACATGTTGATGAGGTTGATGAGAATGGAGGGCGCACAGGGGGCGCTGCCGTAGTCGTACTTGAACCACTTCACCAGAATGAGGAGGTTCATGTAGCCAAAGATGGAGAGGATAAAGATGACCTGGGGAATAAACTCGCAGATGACGTTCAGCTGGCGGGCAAAGTAGCTAAAGGAGAAAAAAGTTAGACTTTAAAAAACAAAAGCAAATCAAACACAAACCGATGATTAAAGTAGCTAATGACCACACCGAAGAACATCTGCGCCACGCCGAGAATGACCGACAGCTTCATCTTGTACGAGTTGAGAAAAAGAATCTTGTTCTGCGACAGTTGCCAGACCTAGATTGCAACAAAACAAGTTAGCTGCTTGAATCCTAAAAAAGTATCCCAACAANTAGCTAATGACCACACCGAAGAACATCTGCGCCACGCCGAGAATGACCGAGAGCTTCATCTTGTACGAGTTGAGAAAGAGAATCTTGTTCTGCGACAGTTGCCAGACCTAGATTGCAACAAAAGCTGTTAGCTATTTTAACCCTCAAAAGTATTCCCAACACAAACTCACCGGATCAAGTCCAAAAATGTACGGACTGCCGACGTAATTTAAATCCGGCCGCAGCATTACATTCGTCCTATTGTACATTTCGCCCGGTTTCAACTTGGGCGCCGACCAGCTGCTGCCAAAGAGATTGACCGACTTGCTGAAGACGTCATTGTACATCAAACCGGTGTAAATGCTAAACAAGCCCATCAGGAGGATCATGTAGCGGCCGTTGAAGAACATCAGCCAAATCTCATTCGGATTCTTCGCCATCTGCAGGTTGCGCTCTTTGAGCACCATCCAACCCGCAAAGAGGGCCATCAGCAGGCCGTGGCCGGCGTCGCCAAACATGATCGCAAAGAGAAAGGGGAAGGTGATGATGGTGAAGGGGGCGGGGTTGATCTCCCGGTAGCAGGCCACGCCATAGGAGTTGACGATATTCTGAAAGCCGCTCGTCACCTTGTTGGTGCGGTTAAAGGTGGGCGGCGTCTCCTTGGTGGGCATCGTGTTGATGATGGCGGGGACGCTGCTGCCTGATCGGAGCGACCCTCGCTCAATGGCCCCCTTCGTGCGCTCATAGTCGAGCGCGGGCACCCAGCACTCGGCAATCAAGCACTTGTGCGTCACGTCGAGGTTGCAGATGTTCAGTATGCAGTAGATGGCCTTGATCTTGCGCACCTTGATGAGCCAGTTGCGGAGGTTCATGGCGGCGGCCACCAGGACGCGGTGGCGGTGCTCGGTCGTCTGAGAGAGCACCGTCTGGAGGTCGTCGATGCGCGAGGCGACGCCGTTGATCATCTCGCGGCGGTCAGAGACGCGTTCCGGGCAGGGGTAGAGAGTTGCGCGGAAGCTTTTGGAGGAGGGAAAAGGTTTGAGATTAGGAAGTTTTTAATATAAAAGGACAGTCTTACCCCTCGCAAATCTTCTTCACCTTCGACTGCAGCTGCTCCCCCTGGAAGAAGATGATAAAGACGGACTTGTAGACATTGTCGCCGGTGTGCGGATCCTCCAGCGGCATCTCAATGGGCGCCTGCTTCAGAAAGACATTGCCGTGGCAGGTGCGCCAGAGCATTCGCTCAAAGCCGGGCAGGCGCTCGCGTAGGATGACGCCGGCGACAAAACTAAAGAGATTTTAAAGTTAAGAATAAAAATAGCAATTTTTCATTGAAAAAACTCACCCCAGCTTCATCGGTCCCTGTCCGCCCGCTCTCAGCCCCTCATCGCCCAGCAGCTGGACATTGTCATCGGGCATGCCCGTGTCTTGCATCTGCGTGGTAGTGGGTGTAGAGTCAATCTACAGTTTTAGTATCAAGTGGTACCCCAAGTGAAGAAAGGCAACGTATTTGGTGTGGGGGATGGGAACACCAAAAATGTAAAGCAAGGGATTGGGAGCGGTGGAAGGAGAGAGGCAGGAATAAAAAGGAGTGAACGGAGGACAGGTAAACAAATAAAAAAGACGCGGACAAAAGGAAAGAATAAGGGAGGGAAGAGATTGTGGGAGTGCAACATAAAGACGAACCAAGTTTTCAATAGAGAGCGTCGTTTAAAGAGAAAGATTGTGCGAACCAAGTAAAAATGATATGATTTAAGTGAGTGAGTAAAGGTAGAACCGAAGAGGGGGAGGGAGAAAAGTAAAAACGACAACGGTGAATCGATTAGAAAATGTTTGAG